GTATTAGCAAAACAACAAAGCGGAACTTACTTAATTACCCATTATACATTGTGATATAGCCTGGTGCGTTGGTCCATTAGATCGGATTGCTTTCTCACTACAACCGAACTGCTCCAGAGTTCGTTTTAATTGAGCCGAGACCACCTCGTTCAGGCGATCTGAATTGTCCGATTGGAACAATTGGACCGATTGTTTTGGCGCCGTATTTTTTGGTGTTCACATATGCCCAAACGAACCAAGCTAAGGGGGGGAAACGCGCCAGGTTCCGAAACAACAGGCCAGGTGTGAAAGCACCCTAATACTAATTAATTAGTTGTCTAGCTCGAAACTGCAAGATCTGCATCATCTGCCAGCAGGAGACTCCCTAACGAACAACTGCACAGTAATGCCTAGAATAGCCATGAATCCAAATTAAGATAAGATTTTAAACAAGTTGAGCTCTTAATTGGAATCCCAGCCTACATTCAAGGTCTTGTGAATTGAGCCAGATTCAATTAATGAGCTTAATTTATTAATTGGAACCACATTTCAACAACTCAAGTGTTTTGAAAAGTAGTGCATAAAAGATGCATGCACATCCAGGCACTTGCATTATCTTGGCGTTAAGAACATCTTGACATGCCGAAAGCGTATAATCACATCAGACGTATACTCGTGCAAAGCATGCATCTCTCCACACTGCGGCATTCACACAAATCCAGGTGTGTTCTGTGAGGCGTCACTTCTTTCTTTGCTTTAATGAACGCCTAAGGTTTTTTGACTATTCTGACTCAGACTTTCAGAGACCCCATGGGCCAAATTACCAAAGTACAGTCACAGCATGATGAAGCGTATTCCCTGCCGATCGATGCCGCATAATTACGTGTCATCTCCCATTCTACAGAATTAGCCCTGTCGGCTGATGTCCCCTCTTCCTGTCTGCCCCTCTCTCATCATACATTGTTCTGCAGCAGAAGAACATCAAGGTTTGATCAGGTCCGATGCTGGTGCTGCAGCGCTACAGCAAACCTACTAATAGGCATCCTGCCGAGCTGCCGTTGCATCCATCTACGGATGGCAAAGGTAAATTACTCTGCTTATTAAAGGGGTCCTATTATGCTTTTTCACTTTTTCAACTTTAGTTAGTCTGTAATGTTGCTGTTTGAGCATAAAAAAAGATCTGCAAAGTTACAAAGTTCAAAGTCCACTTCAAAAGGAGATATTTTATTTAACAGAAATCACTTTTCAAAAACTACAACAAACGACTCGTTTGGACTACAACGCATATTTTCCGGGATATGTGATATCACAAATATCGACGAATGGGACGAGACCTGGTTGAGCTGCACTAGAGAAGGCAACGAGTGTTATCACCATGTCTGAGACACGCTAGCTTTCCCAAGGCAGACGAACTTAGAGTGGTTACAATCATCCGGGTTTAAATCGCGCTCAAATTTATTTGATATTGACGCAATATTTACACTGAAGCTCGCAGGCGGCTATGGTAAGGGGCATGACATTTCCCGACCAGGCGCCGAGTGCTGCCAATCACAGCACACACTGGCCCAGCTAACCAATCACAGCGCATTTCGTATTTCAGAAAAGGGCCTTCATTTGATACAGGAACTATTCGAGCCGTTCATGCCAGACTGGCGAGAGAGGTGTTGTAATAATGTAAAATATAGTATGAGAGCCTGTTCTAGTACACCCCCAAAACAAAATCAAGACTTTGTAAAAGAGCATAATAGGACCCCTTTAAGAAACGCACACCGCAGACAAAAATGGAGCAGCTGCAACTGAACACAGTTTCTCCCTGTGCAAAAGGCACATCAAACGAAGCATAAGTTCCATTCTAACGGTCAAATCGTGTGGATTGTAATGACAAAGCATGCCTATTAAGGTGACTGCGCTTTTGCCAAACTGTTTGTTTCACATTTCTCATTTTAAAAGTCCAATTTAAATTTCATTACTCAGAACAGCGGCTTTCTGACCAGCTGGGGGATTTCAGAAGGAAACCACAGAGCAACCTTCTCCACTTCAGTACCAAAGGTGCAAATAAACAAAAGCGCAGCACTCTGTGAAATCAATCAGGGGAGCCAACAGGTGGAGGCAGTCCAATCCAGCATTTGCATTCATTGGCACAGTGAGAAACAAAGCCTCAGCCTCGCTTTCTAAAGACTCCATTAGCATTTGAGTGAGAGCAGTCATGGGATGACAAGCGCAGCATTTCCCTGTGTGTTTTACCTTATGTGACCCCAATAACTCAAGTTAAAACACTTTCACGCTGACTGAATCACACTCAGATGGGAGGCAGAAGCCAATTTAAAGGTGTACCATGTCATTTTATCCATGTTTTGCTTCCAGAGAAATGAGTAGTGCTGTTGACAACAGAGTTTAAAATGATCAAGGCTCATATCAGCGGCCTAGAAACAGCTGTTTTAAGGTGCGATAAAACTTTATGTTCCTGCGAATTCACATAGCAAGAGGACACTTGACCAATCAGGGAATCTAAATATCACAGACTGTCCTCTTGGCTCAATATAAAGAATACAAACTTATTGCCTGCGTGTTCCAGGTTTTAAAATGTTTTTATGCGAATGTTGTAAGGGAACATTCTATTTTATCATTTTGCAAAGATTGTGGAACGTTACTTTTGAATGTTCTCTGAATTCTCTAAAACGAGAAGTAACATTTAAAAAATGGAATTCAGAAAAAAAATATATATATAAATTACATTTTTGTGCTAATGTTTGGAGAACATTACTAAAGATCAGATAAGTAATAGAGCAAAGGTTCTATTAAAGTTACTGCAGAAATGTTTGCAGAGAACCTCGCCAGAACGCTGCCCATTTGCCAGGGAGTACATAATACAGACACTTTCAGCTTAACACATTAAAATTACAGGAGTCAAATATGCCTGTGAATGCACGGCTAACCAAAAACACTTTTGTGTGTCATTGCATCCACACCAGTAGGGGTCAGCAGGGCCCAAAATGAACACTTATCAACTTAAACCTGTCTTTGATGTGTAAATAAAATGTTTGAGCTGGTAACTGCAACATATTACATTATAAATCAAAACGAAACGCTTGCCAGACCCTCACTGAACGTGACTCGAGAAAACAACTGTTATGACCCATGTGTTTTCCAATTAAAGACATTAGAGTATATAAGATTATTCTGAGATATAAAATGTTTTTCCACCATGGTCCATAAAATAAAGATTATTGAAAATACTGTACTGTTTTAAAGCTGACTGCTTGAACCATGGTGGTTCTTTAAGGTCAGATGTTATATTGAGTCATTCATTAGTCATCTGTACAGCAAAACAAAAAGCAGAGTTATTTTCAAAGCCTCACACCATATACAAGACTGTACTGTAAAGTATGGTCACGTTCTCTGACGTCTTTTCATCAATGTTTTCTCACTGAGCTCACTGGATGAACTGCTTCATTGAAAACCACAAGAAGACACTTTATTTGTACTTGAAAAGGAGAGATAAGAATTCTTAAAGCTCATATCTCAAGGTCTTCAGGGAAAACTACATCGAATTGTCTTTATTTTCTAATCGGCACCAATTATCAGCGGCCACTGTCTCATCGATTAGCTGTGTAGCGGCTGTCGGCCTTGAAGCAAAGCCTGAGGGGGAAAAAATCTCCTAGTTTGCCATGAAAGTAATACGAGAAGAACAATTCTTTTGTGTAATGAATCAGACTGAACCTCAAATACAGAACTTTGGTCATGTACACCATTGAGATCTTCAGCCAATTTATTAAACCAACTTAAAAAAAACAAAAAAAGTTTCATATAACAAAAAAAAAAAAAAAAGTTGAAATTGCTCAATTTATTTTGATGAGTTAAAGTACACTGTAAAAAAAAAAAAAGATTGTGATTTTAACAGTAAAAGACTAAAAATGCTACAGGAAAATTTTTGGAGCACAAAGACAAAACCATAAATAAATAAATTCAAATTCACACTCGTGAATGAAACCCGATTCCTAAACTCTGAATTGTGCACACATTCACACGCACCTTGTGTTTTTGTCCTCAGTGGCTGGTGATGTTGCCAGGGTGATCAAATCAGCATATCCACGGCTCTGTGTGTAGCTGTGGGAGTTTAAGGAGGCGTCGATGATCAAAAGAGCTCTGTCTGAGTGACAGAAGACTTCATCTGAGTCTGTGTACACACATCCATAGCCTACAGTGACTGCAAGGAGAATCAAGTATTGTACATGTTATAATTAGTGTCTGATTCCCCTGTGAAATAACACTGCAGTGTTTACATTTTTACAGCAGCCTAAACATGCACCTGTTCATTTCCAAATTAAACATACACATATTGGCCTATTGGGCTTAATATAAAAATAAATGCGAGTAAAACTAATAAAATTAATCACAAAAACAAAACAAAGCTTAAGCAATCATGCAATGTGTAACATATGCGACATAAAGCACACTTCAGCGCAGTGGTTCTCAATTGGTTTTGCATTTTGGAAGTAAAAAAAATTATACTTAAAAATATAACATGAAGTGTATTAAAATTACCCTGAATTGCACAAACCAAACAAAATGCAAAAAGACTCACATGGCACAGACTAAGAATAACCACAGGTTTGTAAATCCATAAAGAGTATGATTTATCAACCAAACACACAGTACAAGCACTAATACTGAATTAGTATTAGTCATATTAGTCAGATGAGAAGCACTGCTTTAATGTGAATGTACTGCGTTTGAATCAGTCACATGGTTTGATCCAAAATGGCTGATTTAATCCATTTACTTACTGTGATTCTTTGAACACATTTCACATTAGATAATCCAAATGGAATCACTCACTGGAACGAAAGCTCAAACTCCTACACAGAGGCAATGAATCACAAATCAAACATGTCAGGTGTAAATAGGCTGGTCAGCAGCAAGGTACACTGAGTTTGTGATTCTGAAACTGTGATTGGTGGAATGCTGTGAGGGGGTGGAGCCTTAGAGGAAACACCTGTTTACCTGCTTCAGGTGAGAGTGAGAGTTGAATAGAGGAACTAGCAAAGAAAACACCTGACAGCACCGCTCTGTTTGTTGGACTACTCTGAATTTGGTTGTTCCGTTAAGAGGTAATTTTTATTTTTTCACAGAAATCCCTTTTTTTGAGTTTACGTCAGCTGAATGTTAACAAAAGAAGTGAAGCTTTGAAGTTGGTTGTGTTAGGAAGGACTGCAGTTTGGACTTTGCTCTTTATAAAAGCTAACAGAAATTAAATCCTTGACTGCTCTGACCTCCATTAATTAGTTTTTCTGGCTTATTTCATTTCTTATGATACTAAAATGATTACTGTTGACCATCAGTAAGCAAGTGCTCAAAGAAGGCTTATTGAATTAAAAGCATATAAAAAGTCTGATTGAAAGGTAGGTGTGTGTGTGTGTGTGTGTGTGTGTGTGTGGCCTAAACATGCACCTGTTCATTTCCAAATTAAACATACACATATTGGCCTATTGGGCTTAATATAAAAATAAATGCGAGTAAAACTAATAAAATTAATCACAAAAACAAAACAAAGCTTAAGCAATCATGCAATGTGTAACATATGCGACATAAAGCACACTTCAGCGCAGTGGTTCTCAATTGGTTTTGCATTTTGGAAGTAAAAAAAATTATACTTAAAAATATAACATGAAGTGTATTAAAATTACCCTGAATTGCACAAACCAAACAAAATGCAAAAAGACTCACATGGCACAGACTAAGAATAACCACAGGTTTGTAAATCCATAAAGAGTATGATTTATCAACCAAACACACAGTACAAGCACTAATACTGAATTAGTATTAGTCATATTAGTCAGATGAGAAGCACTGCTTTAATGTGAATGTACTGCGTTTGAATCAGTCACATGGTTTGATCCAAAATGGCTGATTTAATCCATTTACTTACTGTGATTCTTTGAACACATTTCACATTAGATAATCCAAATGGAATCACTCACTGGAACGAAAGCTCAAACTCCTACACAGAGGCAATGAATCACAAATCAAACATGTCAGGTGTAAATAGGCTGGTCAGCAGCAAGGTACACTGAGTTTGTGATTCTGAAACTGTGATTGGTGGAATGCTGTGAGGGGGTGGAGCCTTAGAGGAAACACCTGTTTACCTGCTTCAGGTGAGAGTGAGAGTTGAATAGAGGAACTAGCAAAGAAAACACCTGACAGCACCGCTCTGTTTGTTGGACTACTCTGAATTTGGTTGTTCCGTTAAGAGGTAATTTTTATTTTTTCACAGAAATCCCTTTTTTTGAGTTTACGTCAGCTGAATGTTAACAAAAGAAGTGAAGCTTTGAAGTTGGTTGTGTTAGGAAGGACTGCAGTTTGGACTTTGCTCTTTATAAAAGCTAACAGAAATTAAATCCTTGACTGCTCTGACCTCCATTAATTAGTTTTTCTGGCTTATTTCATTTCTTATGATACTAAAATGATTACTGTTGACCATCAGTAAGCAAGTGCTCAAAGAAGGCTTATTGAATTAAAAGCATATAAAAAGTCTGATTGAAAGGTAGGTGTGTGTGTGTGTGTGTGTGTGTGTGTGTGCGCATGTGTGTGTGCGTACATATTTTTCTATCCCGGAGACTTAAACCTGAATACACGCCAACTCATGGGGCCTCGTGTCACGGTGAGGACCTAAATTGAGGTCCCCATGGGGAAACAAGCTTATAAATCATACCGAATTAGTTTTTTTAGAGTGTAAAAATGCAGGTTTTCTGTGAGGGGTAGGGTTGGTGTAGGGCGATAGAATATACGGTTCGTGCAGTATATAAACCATTACGCCTATGGAGAGTCCCCACAAGGATAGTAAACCAGACTTGTGTGTGTACAGTATATGTTTAAACTGTATTCAGTTTTCAGGGGACTCTCTTCCTCTAGGTTTAATTATTGTGCATTTTATTGGCAGCTACACTGGCACACGATTTCTTCCTTAAATGATTTATAGACACAAAGATAAGAATCACAGTTTCGGTGGTCTGAGACTGTAAAAAGTCCTTTCTTTTAATAACTCTACCTCATGTTTAAAACATTATAATGTCTGAATCATATACTATATGAACTGCCACTCTCTTAAGTGATTTGCATATTATACATGCATGCAAATAGTAATAGGCAGAAATATCAGTCAGGCAGTGTTTGGGATGTTAGGATTTGGATTTGCCCATCAGGCCAAAAATATCCAAGCACAGTTGTCAATTGATAGTGGACGTTTCCTCTTTTAAATTGTTTTTTAATAAATTTTGAAATGTGTAAATGTATGTAAAAAAAGAATTGTGTGTGTGTTTGTGTGTGTATATATATACACAAAAACACACACACACACACACACATATATATATATATATATATATATATATATATTGTTATATTTTTTAGATGCTTTATATGCTTATTTTTATATGCTTTGAAATATTTTTTTCTTATAAAAGACAAGATATATATATGATTACATGGAAATATATTATACTTATACATATATAGTTATATTTTATATAGATATATAGTTAAATTTTTATTGCTTTTAGATATTTTTTCCTTATTTCTTGTCTATTATATACATACATATACATACACATATCATACAGATCCCATTTGTCAGAGACAATACATCTTTGGTTGCTGATTTGATTTTTCTGTACTTCAGAGAGATTAATGATTTGTTTTTACACTTTTGAATCGAAACTCAAGACTTTCTCATTTCAGCTAAAATGACATTGGAATTTGCCATATGTGTGTCCCTTATCAGAAGATCCACACTTGCAAATGAGGTGTCCATCAGCAAGGGACAATGACAGTCTGTGCTTTTCTTTTTTCCCCCCCAGGTTTTCTGTGAGAAAAGCCGACATTTGGCTATGAGCAAGTTCTGGTTTAACTTCCCCTTACCTTTGGCTGCATTATACATCACTGCAGTATGTCTAAATCATGCAGGTGTGTAAAATGCTACTTTTATTTGTTTATTTAACTGTCTCTTTGAGCGTTTTCGGTGTTAAAGGTCACTTTTCTCTTCACTTTGTGTGGGCTGTATATCGAGTTTCTACGGCAGTCTAAGTGTGACCATGTTATGCATAAATTAACCCTGCATATTAAGAAGTTGCACTGGCCTCCCACTCCACTTTATTCAAATTCTAGCACTGAATATTACTGGATCTGAGATTCACTTCAATGCACTTGCATGTGCATTTCAAAGCAGCAGATGTACTGTAGAGTGCATAAAACAATAAGGTCGTTCATTATCTGTGAGCGTGATTTGCATAATATTAAATGCACTAAAATTACAGAGCATGAAAATGCGTGATTTTTGACCAATACATCGATGCTCTCACAGGGTTTTAACCCAGCATGTTGCTCAACACATTCATGCTTGGACTGTTTTTATTCCAGCTGAGAGACGATCTATAAATTGCACAGACACTCCCTGTGTTTTGTGTGAACGTGCAATACTTACAGGAATGATACAGTCATCTGACATATTCTGTTGTTTTGATATTTGTTGCTAAGAACATGACGAACCCAACAATCTGTAGCATTTCTTCAAAAATAAATAAGTAAACAGTTGTTTTTGGTAACATTTGTGTGACCTTGACAGCTGTGGCCTTTTGTCAAATTATAAATTCATAACATTCTCAGAACTTTGGCTAACGTTCTGGCAAGGTTCTCTCAAAATTATGAACAAATGGTCTTCCAGTAACTTAACGTTTGTTAAAAGTTATCTGGTCTTTAATAATGCTCTCAGAATGTTAGAACAAAATAATTACTTATTCATCATTAATGGAATGTTTTTTTTTTCCCCCTGAAACATTTTAGTTGGACATTCATCTAACGCTTTTTAAATGTTACTACTTATTTCAGAAGGTTCAGAAAATATACAAAAGTATATTCCCATATTGTCTGCTAAATGATCAAATGGAAAGTTCCATTCATAAGTGATGTTCCCATAATGTTTGCAAAATCGAAGTAAGAAGTTCCTTTCGTTCATATAACCAAGACAAAAAAAAAAAAATTTGTTAAAAATATTATTTAAAAAATGGACGTATTTAAATTATGTTTTCATAACTTAACAGGAACATTAGCACAATGTTCATAGAACATAATTTTGTTAGCTGGGAACGTTCTCAAAACGTTAGCACAAAAATATTATTTATACATTATTCATGGAATGGTTTTTTTTATGTTGCTGCTTGTTTCAGAATGTTCAGAGAACATTTAAAAGTAACGTTCCCATAATGTATTCAAAATAATTAAATAGAATGTTCCCTTTGTATAAACAAGAAAAAGAAACATTTTAAAAACATTTAATAAAAATCTGGACATTTAGAACATTTAGAAAACATTCAGAAATAATGTTTTTACATCCTAATGGAAACATTAATAAAAACATCTACATATTTTTGTTTGATGAGGTTCAGCACAAAAATGTGTGGTATTCACAAACAACTCTTTTCTTAGGCTTAATATAGAATGTTTCGTATTCACTACAGTATTCCGCTTGGTGCAGTTAATGCTATGCTATTACACCTGTGAAAAATTATCTAGTGATCGTGGCTCAGGTAATTCATCAAATAATGGAGAAGAGAGTTACAACCAACCATATATCCAGATTCCGCATGTTGTCAAGTGCACTTTCAGCATTTAAAGAGCGATGGATGGTGTCTGGATCATTGTGGTAGGGTGATGCATGCAGACTGTCGCAATTTGCACTGTACAGCATCATCCTCCACATTCTAGCACTCAGAACTGGCAAGACTGGAAACTGCTCTCAGCAGATTTTCTATCACAGACAGAACAGAATGTGCAAATAAGCAGCACTATTAGCAGCCATGATTCATTTTAGCAAATTCTCCTCTTGATCTGTTTTTAAAAGTGCACATCATAGAAAACAGGACTATTTGTGCACTTTTTAAATAAATGTCATGCCACTCCTTCCTCAGACCAATTATTGAAATTAAGCTGCAAAAAAAAAAAAAATTGGTTTCTTCAGAAATCATCACAGTTACGGCATCACAACTATGAGCACATGACCACATAACTAAATGTTAAAGGGTTAGTTCACCCAAAAATGAAAATTAGGCTGCGTTTTACTCACCCCCGAGGCATCCTAGGTGTATATGACTTTCTTCTTTTAGACGACTCCAGTCGGAGTTATATTAAAAATTGTCTTTGATCTTTCAAGCTGTTTCATGGCACTCAGCGGGTGTTGCATTGCTTCAGTCCAACAGAAGTTAAATAAAAAGTGCCCATCCGTAAAAAAAAAATGTCTCACACTGCTCCGGGGGGTGAACAAAGGCCTCCTGTAGTGAATCGATGCATTTTTGTAAGAAAAATATCCATATTCAAAATGTAATAATCACTTTAATCTAGCTTGTGCCAGCAGTTGTACACAGGAGCAGCTCCGGGAGCATGACGTATGAGGTCAGCGTTGCGCATGCGCCGGTGAGTCTCGTGAAAACCAACGTTTGTTTACAGGATCAAAGGAAGCAAAGTTTCCTTACTTTAGCAAAGGAAAACAAGTCTCCTCTTGGCTTATATCGAAATCCTCTGACATTCTTCTTTACAAATCCTCGTTTTGTACTTCTAATTCTTGACTGTTGTTTTGTTTTGATCTCTCCGCTGTGTTTCTGCGTGCGTCGATTCTGAGCGGTGCATGTGCAAAACTGACCTCATACGTCATTCCCCCGGAACTGCTTCCGTTTGCAACAGTGAGCGCAAGCTAGGTTCAAGTGATTATTACATTTTGAATATGGATATATTTCTTACAAAAACGCATCGATTCGCTACAGGAGGCCTTTGTTCACCCCCCGGAGACACTCCGACTGGATTCGTCTGAAAGAAGAAAGTCATATACACCTAGGATGCCTCGGGGTTGAGTAAAACGCAGCCTAATTTTCATTTTTGGGTGAACTAACCCTTTAATCAGTATTCAACAACTTGGAAGTTTCATTGACATGCATCTCTCATGCAAAGAGGTTAGCCAATCGTAAAAGAGCTAATCTGCATATTAAATATTCAGTTGCAAAAACAGCCTGTTTAAATGGCACTGAAAATAAAACTGTCTGTTTTTGGTGCATGAATCCTTGACTTTCAAACAAAGGCATAGAATATGGGCTCTTTAAATCAATGTCCATAAATGTTTTACAGCAGTGGTTCTCAAATGGTGAGTAACAGATCAGTTCTAATAGGAAAAATGTTTTTGAATGCAAATAATAAAATGCAGCACACCATATAATCATGAGTAATAAATAGCACAATAAAAATGCTTACTGGCTTTAAGCAAAGATGAGAACCACTGATTTATATTATTGTATAGAGAGAAAAATTCTATTCAATAAGACACATTTTCTGAGTTGGACAAGACAGGTGTTTGTAAAATGAATGATCATTATTCCGTATCTCTCTCTGTGAACCTTTAGCTTTGGCGGTACAGGTGACATCCACAGGACCACAGATGGTCAAGAAAGCTCAGGGGGAGAGTGTTACTCTGGGCTGCACATACACCGTGGATGCCTCAGATGTCGGAGACCTGGACATTGAGTGGACACGCGTCAGTCAAGACATGACCCAGAAAGATGAGATGGTGAGAGAGTGCTGAGGATACAGAATGGTGGTTAAAGCACATCTTGTATTGTATTGGCTTGTTACTGGCATCTTTAAGAAATAGGAAAAATGAAAATGGATCCGACTTCTTTCGAAAGCAATATGATTAAAATATGATTAAAATACACTTCTTAAGATGTTTCTCAGTAGGCATAATTGGCAATGTGGAGCCAGTCTCTAAAACTATTTTAAATAGTTCATATCAGAGTTCTTTTTTTTATTAACTAAAACCAAAATGTACTAAATTAAGTAACTTTCATTAACTACAAAAAAATGAATAAATAATGATAAAGATAAAATTATGGTTTGATCAAATTAAAATGAAATATTAAAAAAATAATTTGTTACTGTAGCTAGTTCTCATTTACATTTAGTATAAGTTGAAGTACAAAAATAAATGTAAAATTTAAATCTAAATTTTAAATAGAAATGAAAAACTATATAGACACTCAAACATATGTGTGTGTAAAATACAATGACAAAAGTGCAACACACAAAAGAAAATATTAAAATAAAAACCAATTCAAAATATTAATATGAACTATAATAGTTCAACAATACTATTGGTATTACAGGTAAATAAAACTAAAATGATACTTAAAATAAAATTAACGTTAATTGCATTAAAATAAAATATAATGAAGATTTTTAATTATTTTATTTCTGCTAGTTGCCAAGTTAACATTTCTCATTTAGTTTCACTTAGTAACTTCATATACTAAAATAAATCATCATATAAATCATAAACTAAACTAAAACCAAAATAAAAATTAATAAAACTATACTGACAATAAAAAAACAAATAAAATGACAAAACACAAAATTATTAAAATTTTAACTAGAATTTCAATTTAAAATATAAAAAATAATTCTAATTTATTTTAGAAATTAATGTGAATTCCCATTTTGTGCTGACTTTAAAGTTCAAATAAAAACAACAAAAAAATTAAAAATATTAATAAAAAATATATAATAGTATCTTAATCATACTAAAATAAGACTGACTGGTACTAAATGGTAATGGCACTAAAATAACACTCATATCATTTGAGAGACTGGAATATTTTGACACTGAATGACCATTTAAAATGAACTAGGAAGAAGGAAGAAAGGTGCAAAGAAAGCATGCTGTGCAGCTTTTCTTTACGTAACATCTGGCGTTTTTGATAAGACAAGAATGTAGGAATGTTTTCTCAGCTCCATAGAGATCACAGTCTCCACCTCATCAATCATATCATCTTGATGGATTTTGTAATTTCCTCCCATTTCTACCTTGTCCAAACTGCTTAACCTCAGGCTTTCCAGTGATGCATGTGGAGATTCAGAGAAATCCGTGCGTAAGGCTCCGTCTTAATGACGGCAGGTGGTTAGACCTGTTATATTAGATAAGACTCACTGAGCTGGGTTTCTCTGTCTGACTGTCTGACAGATCTTATCTTACACTGGAGGGAAACAGTACCAGCTAGGAAGCCCAGACCTGATGAGTCGCTTGAAGTTTGTTGGCGACCCGAGCCGCGGCGACGCCACGGTCAGCGTTTCCAGCGTCAAGGTCTCGGACACAGCCACGTACCAGTGCAAAGTGAAGAAGACACCTGGCATCGATTCGAGGAAAGTCACTTTAGTAGTGCTGGGTGAGGACGTGCTCATTCTGTGACTCTGCTGACCGGTTCTGACACTCTTATCAAGCTACCGGGTTTCTGTTTTACTGGTTCTCTCCACCCTAGCCTGCCCCTTTCATCCAGTCGCTCATGATGACATGACTGGAATGGTACACTCTAAAAAATGCTGGGTTAAATACAACCCAGTGCTGGGTAAAATAGGGACAAACCCAGCAATTGGGTTGTTTTGA